GAGATCTTTATTACCAGAACAACTAGTAAATTAACACTTTCTGTAGAGACATTTGCCACAAGACTTGTAATCTGCTTTCTCCACATCCTCTCCAGCATAAACAGTTGTTGGTGTTTTGATTTTAGCCATTTTGACAGGAGTAAGATGGTATCTCAGAATTGTTTTGATTTACACTTCCCTGATGGCTAAGGATGTTGAGCACTTTCTCAAGTGTCTATCAGCCATTTTCGACTCCTCTATTAAGAATTCTCATTTAGTTCTGTACCCCATTTTTAATTGGATTATTTGGTGTTTTAAAGATTAGTTATGCTGGAGAGGATGTGGAGAAATGGGCACACTCCTCTACTGCTGGTGGGAGTGCCAACTTGTACAGCCACTTTGGAAATCAGAATAGAGATTCCTCAGGGAAATGGGAATCAGTCTAACACAAGATCCAGCAATTTCACTCTTAGACATATACCCAAAAGATGCACATTCATACAACAAGGATGTCTGTTCAACTATGTTCATGGCAGCATTATTTGTAATAGCCAGAACCTGGAAGCAACCTAGATGTCCATCAACTAAAGAGTGGATAGAGAAAATGTGGTACATTTACACAATGGAGTACTATTCAGCAGAAAAAAATGGAAATTTGAAATTTGCAGGAAAATGGATGGAACTAGAAGAAACCATCCTCAGGGAGGTAACCCAGCCACAAAAATTCAAACATGGTATGTACTTACTCATATATGGATTTTAGACATGGGACAGGGGATTGCCAGCCTACAATCCCACCGCAAGAGTGTCCGCAAAGCAGTGAGGACCCTAAGAGAGATATGCATGGTACCTTGGAAAAGTAGAATTGGACAGATCTCCTGAGCAGACTGGGAGCCTGGACACATGGGAGAGGGCCCAGGCTCTGCCCTGGATGATATGACACACTTTGAAGATCCCCCGTGGAAGACCTTACCCTTTGGAACCCCCTGGAGTGGGGGCTTGGGGGGCTGATGGGTTCAGGGGAGGAGGGAAGGGAGAGGGAGCTGGGATTGACATGTGAAGCAACCGTGTTTCTAATTTAAATTAAACAAAAATAAAAGAAGGCTTGTAGTCTCTGTGTGCTCTAGAGATCTGACATAGTGGAACACCTCATTGTGATAATAGCAGTTTATTTAGACAGTGGAGATGTTCCATTCTATTTTCTGAATGAGAGAATGAGTGAAATTGCTTTGTAATTAAAAATAGTAATAAAGCCAGCATGGTCCTTAAACTCGTTTACTGAGAAAATGAGCCACCTCAAGGTCAATTTGCTCACTATTATAACTGACAATAGTGTCAAGGGAAAAAACAGACTATGGATGGGTCTCTTGATTATGGTAACCAACTGGATTACTATAGTTTAGAGCTAACTGGTTTTTATCTTTTGGTTTGTTGGCTTTTTGAGACAGTGTTTCTCTGTGTAACAGCCCTAGCTGTCTTGGAACTCACTCTGTAGACCAAGATGGCCTTGAACTCACAGAGATCCACCTGCCTCTGCCTCCAGAGTGCTGGGATCAAAGGCATATGCCTCCACAAACCTGGTAACTGTTAATTAGGCACAAAGTTTGACATGGTTGTATTTAGTGAGCAATTACTATATGAGATACTATTGTGGGTGCTAGGCATGTTAGCTCATTCAATATTTACTAAATTTCTGTCATTTCCATATAAAAGAGAGGGTTAAAACTGGGGCAAGTGAAATGAGTATAATCTTGGTTGTCAACTTGATACCCTGCAAAGAGGGACCTCTGAGGGATAATCTTAATCAGATAGAGATTTTTTTCTTGATTGAACACTGATGCAGTACAACCAACCTATTGTGGGCAGTGCCATCACTGGAGAGATGGCCCTGGGCTATGTAAGGAAAGTAACTGAGTAAGGTAGTAAGTATCATTTTTCCATAGTCGCTGTTTCTGTTTCTGTCTCTAGGTTCCATTCTTTCTTGAGCTCCCACTTGACTTCTCTTGGTGATAGACTGGAACCCGTAAGCTGAAATAAACTCATTCCTCCCCAGGTTACTGTTGACATGGTGCTTATCAAAGCAACAGAAAGCAAATTAAGTTTATTGGCTATTCCTTAATCCAAACGATTATCTCATGCATGTGTTATAAATGATATTAAGTGTATACTACATATTAAAACAAGGGAGTCACTAGAAATACACAGTGGAACATAATAGGGAAGGAATATTAACTAGAACAGTTTTGACTCTAAACATGTGACAGTTAAGCAGAATCCAAAATAGATTCCAATATGAACAGATTGCTCTCAGAAAAAGGAATACAAATAGCTCACAAGCATAGGAAAAGACAGTCAAACTTGCTAAAAATCAGAGGAGTATAAATGATAGTCCCACTGAGATGTCACTTTCCATGTAGAGGGTAGGTAGGGATCCTTGTATGTAGTAGTTGTATGTAATAGTATGAGTGGGTATTACCTCTGTGGATGATTTTTGGTAGTATTTATCTAAATTTAAGGTGTTTTCAATATTTCAGTGTTTAAGATTCAAAATCAGCTATTTTACTTGTAGGGATATCTTATAGCTAACTAGTGCTTGTAAAGAATAATTTTTCATGAAGAGATAGCATGTGATAGCCAAAAGGTCCAGTAGCTTGTAAGTGATTAAATACAAGCCTCAATGCACACTCTACATAGCATGTAATTCTGTTATATGGTCACTTTTAAATTGCTGTAGCCTCAGTTTCTGGAAGAATGACTGCAAATACTAGACAACTAATAAACAGCTATGGGATGAGTGAAATTCGTTTTTACATGGGGTTAAAAACGAAGTCTCAATTCAGACTGCTTTCCTATGATGTGTGAATTGTAGCATAAAGCACTCTGAATGGAGTGTATGTCTCTTTCTTATATTTCTCCAGGTAGGGAGTGCGCATGTCTGTTTCTTATGTTTCTGCAGGTAGGGAGTGTGCATGTCTGTTATGTTTCTGCAGGTAGGGAGTGCGCATGTCTGTTTCTTATGTTTCCGCAAGTAGGGAGTGTGCGTGTCTGTTTCTTATGTTTCTGCACGTAGGGAGTTCGCATGTCTCTTTCTCAAGTTTCTGCAGATAGGGAGAACTTGTCAAGTGCTGATCACTGCACCAGTGACACAGATGAAAAGTCAGTCAGAGTCAGCCTCAGCTCTCAAGGATTTTATCTTTTTAAAGGAGAAATGAAGACTGTAAGACCTATTAGGACTTCGAGTGGAAACAAAATGCTTCATACAGAAAATCATCTTGTTAGCTTCTAAGAGAAAGTCCAGGAGTAAGCCTGCAGGCTGAGGATGACCCCTTGGCCTTCAAGAGTAGCTTGGGATCAGTGGAGAGCTTGCTCTAGGACCAACTGAGGGTGCACGCTTGAGGTACATGGCCTGTGTCAGGTCATCAAACTCTTGATCTCATGAGGGGAAGTTCTAGAATACTGCTTCACAGATGAGGAAACTTAAGACTCAGAGACGTCACCAAGCTAAGCACAAAGCTGGATTTTGAAATCAGGCAGTTTGTGTGGTCTGCCACTCATCTGAGCAGCTGAACTCTATTGGTTTCTTACCTCTGTGAGAAGAGGATATGTTAAAAGTCTAGATCATGATTTGAGGGTAGGGAGATAGTAGAAGATGAATTTCGGAGTGTCTGTAGAGTAAATCTGTAGGGCACTGAGCACTTTGTTTCAGTTCAGGACTTTCCTCTCAAGGCACTGGAGTTTCCAAGTAGGAACCGACAACACTGGGAAGACGAGAGGGAGTGGATGACGACGACGTGGATTTGGATGGAGAGAATGAAAAGGAGCCTCGGGTTGATGTGAGGAAATTCAAGCAGAAGGAGCTCAGGTCGTGAGAGACAAGGACCTGAGTCATCTTTTTAGTGGGATGCGGGTAAACATAAATAAACACTGAGAGTTATTGCAACCAATTATATTTTTATATTCACTAATGTCAAGTAATCTTTACCGCCAGCAACAAAGATATGAGATATAAATTTAAATAGTTTCCTGAGAACATACGAAAATTAAATGTTCTCCCTTGTAGCAAGAGATTTCACCATCTACTGGTGAACCACATTTATCAATCTCATTAAAATTACTGCAGAAAAAGGTTGCATAGATTTCCCTGAAACTGCTTAATGGGTTCTACAGGTTTTATGGAGAACTTTACCTGAGTGTAGTAAAATTTCTATTAAAATTTCCTCTGTGATTTGTCTCCAGGGACCTATATTTCTATAAAGTTATTTTAAATTGCATCTTGACTTATTGTAATATTTACTCACTGGCATCAGCTTATTTTTTCCTGTACTCTTCTAATCTCCACTGTGCACAACAGAAAGCATGGGGGGGGGCCTCCAGGTGTAGTGATGGACTCAGTCCTGGGAGGCAAGAGACAGCTTTTGATTGCTTCCCTACTCAGAACTGGAAGACATCGCCAGACTCTTAGAGAATGTTTCTTTATCCAGAAATGAAGAGCATGTGTTCAGTACTGGATCATGTTCTTTTATCATTATTCCTGTAATAAATACATGGAGAGTCCACCGCCTGAACCCTCAGAAAGCTACAGAGCTGAACTAGCCATTTCCATGTCTCAAGGGATGTTGTATTTAAGTGTTAGTAAGTGTGATAATTCTTATTTTAAAAACTAAATCACTAACTCAAGAAACAATGACCTTCACCTTAAAACAATTTAAACACATTTGGAATTATCAGTATTTTTCTATCTGTCTATCATCTATCGACAGACAGACAGACAGACAGACAGAGAGAGAGAGAGAGAGAGAGAGAGAGAGAGAGAGAGAGAGAGAGAGAGAGAGAGAGAGAATCTTAATCTTACTGCATTTCTGATGCTGGCCTGGAATTCACTCTGTAACTGATGCTGGCCTCAAATTTGCTGTGATCTTTCTGTCTTAGGCTCCTAAATATTGGGATGGTATATGTATATGACTGCTCCTGGCTATAGATAATAATCCCTCAAACTTTCCAGAAAAAAAATTGACGGACACCTGCATCCACTGACAGACCTTAGATAATTCGTGACTGCTCTTCTGGTTTGCACTAGGATATAAAAGAACATGCTCCCTGTGCTTTCTGCCTGTCTTTGTGGTCAAGACTGAAGTGAGAAGTACATCTATATTTTTTTAATGACAGTTCAAAAAGGCAAGGGCACAAAAAACCAGAGAATAGCAGGAGTGCCATTTTGTTTTCGGTATGCTCATATGACATTAGTAAAAAGAGATTAGAACCAAAGAAAAAATAGAGAACTACCAGCAGATTCCAGCTCTCTTTTATATTTGTCTTTTCTGTTAAAGAGAGAAGACAAAAATAAGAATTATTTGTCTTCAGGTTAATAAGGAGCAATCTGGGGAATGGGCAAGCAGATATGTTTGGCACTCCTTGGCCTCCATTATCCACTGACTGCAGAGAAAGGGGCAGATCTCTGCAGAGCATACAGGATATTTTTGATGAAGCACTGCAGGAGAGCAGCCTTGGGGCAGCTTTGACAGGCTGCCAAACATACATTTTTATTTTGTCTTTATTGGAGAGGCACTGTTTCTAGCAAAATCATGTCTGGAGTCCTGCTGCCAAACACAGAGGCAGCTATGGGAAAGGTGCAACCTGATTTCTACTGACAGGGAAGTGCTCGTTGTCCCCGACTGTGCCCAAAGGACCAGGCTGTCAGCAAAGGTGAGACAGACATCTCTGCAGCCGAGCTCAGGGTTGAACAGGGCTTCACACCCCTCCCCCAGGATAGGGCAACCACCTGCTCCAGTGTGTTTTTTAGCCTACACACAAATAGCCAAGGTCTCCTTCAAGGCCTCTTCTAAATAGAAATGACACCAGACAAGCCAGTAGCCAGTTCTCCAGATTCACTGCTGCTGAGACCTGCCTCTTTCCAGATGTTAGTCTATGGCCTGGCCAATATTAGGTGCTCAATAAATATTTGTTTAAATGGCTCTGTGATGATTTAATGGCCAATTAATTAATTTTCGGGTCTGTGACTAACCCAGTAGCTGGCACATGACAAGTGTCAATAAATTCTTTATGAGTGAGCAAACTGGCGGCAAACTCAGGTTCAAGCACCAGAGCCAAGGCAACATTACACAGCAGATGAAGGTACAATGGTCTCTCCCATCTCAGCTCCCGCATGTCTAAGCAGAGTCCATGGCTAACTCTGGACAGCCTTCCCTTAGAGCTTCAGTTCTCAATGACCAGCAGCGTCACCTACTAGAAATGGAAATTTCAGCCCCACTTCAGTCTTTTGGATTAGAAACTTTGAGTGGTACCAGCAATCTATGATAAACTATGACAAGACCTTCTTCTGTGTACCCGAGGAATCTTCATTCTGTCACAAGGTAGACTCCTTTCTCAGGAGCTTTGCTTCCTTTCTATCATCTATCCATTGATGAGTTTCAGCAGAACACTTTAGTTGATTAGATTATTTTATTATCCCAATGATATTTTAAAGTTTAATAGGGGATTAGAGAAAAGCAACATTATTGATCAACACCTAGGTCCAGTTGCATAAATCAAAAACAAACAAACAAAAAATGTTGGTTCTGAGAGTGTGCTCCTTTTCAGATTAGTTTCAGTGTCCTATCTGATACAAAGAGTGGTCAGATGAGAAGTGGGTTGCTTATTGGCTATCCAGTGTTTAAAATTTAGATATTAAAGAAAAACAAGACCCTTGGTCAAAGGTCACCCCTCAGATATGTGAAGTTGTTTTTGATCATTAGATTATAAGTAGGAACATACTACATAGAAGTTTTCATTGTGAATGTTTCTTCAAACACTGAAGCCTCCTCCTCAATGGCATGTTTTCTGTTGTGATAAAACTCAGATGAAACCAAGAAGCTGCTCTTTCTAAATGGCCACTATCATTGTCATTCTTTGGGGTTTTCCTTCATCTCACTAAAACCACCGTGTTGTATACGAGCAAGCTCCTGCCCTTTATAGGCATTTGTGTTAATGATGCACACTTCACGTGGATTCAACGTCACCACTTCAGGAGGTAATGGCATCCAATAATGACCCAGACAAGGAAATAAAGCACCAATATTGATGAACAAGCCTGCCCCCACCTTAGGCATGAAAACTGTCTTATAATAAAGGCAAACTAGGCTCATTCCTGTTTATGACTAAACCTCTGTTTCTCAAAGACTTCATTATTCTCCACTTGTAAGCTTAGCTACAAATGTTTCTGTACTGACATTCCAGGGAAAACAATCATGTCTTTGTTTCAAAAGTTGTTTATGACAATTTGCAACCCTGTATTTGTTTCAAAAGGTTATATGACTACCTTGTCATGACTACCCTGTTATACCCACCTTGCAGCTATGCCTTTGTTTCAGAAGGTCTTTATGACTAACTTGTTATGCTCATGTTCTGGTCTTGTAATGCCACATATTTTGTCAGCCAAATCCCCCATTTGGAAAGCCCCTAATCCCGAGCTATAAAAGCCTTGTTTTCCTTACATCCAATGCTGACTTCTCGAATCCTGCTTTTAGAGAGAGACAGCCCCAGCCCATGTATAAGAATAAAAAGCTTGCTTTAATTAATTGCTTGTTCTAATTAATTAGGGTATGATGATTTGAGTCAGTGATCTTTCTCCTTTCTTCTTGGGATTAACATATCCTACATGGTCCAGTTCTCTCTTAAATGACTAGAAACTTTGAATTTTGTAAAGTGGGCATAGTGTTAAACACCTGTAATCCCAGAACTTGGTGGGGGCCAGTAGGGTGAGAATTGGAGGCCACTGTGAGCTTCTTAAGTAATTACTAGTCTCAAAAATCAAATCAAAACAAAAAACCACAATGAAGATGACATCACTATGGATGTGGGTTCATATAGAGATTTGTAATCCTTGGAAATTTTGATGTCCTGTATGTTCAGCCAGGCCTGAAGGATTTATTCCATTCCATGGAAAGTCCTTGACATATTGACTTCCTTTCTGGAAAATTCTATTTAATATGCTAATGCACTTTGTCAAGTTGCAATATATTTTCCCCAAAACTTAAATAAGTATTTTATTGGAAACATTTTTCATGTTTAAAATTGAATCACAATGTTCACTTCATTTCATATTCATTTGATTATGAGAGTGGCCATTTTTAACCAGGCATATAATAAGACAAAACGAATTATAGCTGGTCCATTTAATAGTATTTCTCCATGTACATATCAGAAATATTTTTACTGTTTATAGTATTATTGTAGGACACATAATATGTTGATAGCTAACCTCATAAATTCATGCTGTCCATCCTTATTACAAATAACTTACCCCATTAAATATTTCTGCAAGTCTCTAATCAAATGAATCAGACAAATCAGTCTAGCATCTGCCTTTTTCCCTGATTTTCTCAGGCACCTGTGTATATGTTTATTTCATTAGGTATCAGAAGGGATTTAAATTTATAAATCCCATTAGGCACTCTATAATAGAGGTTGAGGAATTGGTCTTGTTCAGTGTAAAATAGGAAAGCTGAGGATATCATACCCCCTTCCCAATGATGACATTTTTATTTATCTATCTATTTATTTATTTATTTGATGTGTTTATATGTGCATGCCTCACCACTGATTTTGTGTGTGTGTGTGTGTGTGTGTGTGTGTGTGTTTGTGTGTGTGTGTGTATTTGGACCACAGCATATATATGGAGGTCAAGGGATGACCTTGTGGAGTCATTTCTCTTTCCACCTTTGCATGAGCCTTAGAGATAAAAGCTAGGTTCCCAGGCTTCTACAGCAAGCACCTTTATGCACTGTGACATCTCACTAGCACTCAGTGATGATTTTTATAGTTCCACACTAAGGTTGCTGTCATTTCCCACTGTGCTGTCCCTTCAACTAAAACAGAAGAGTGTGGCTATGCAGGAAGGGAACAAAGATCTAAAATTGTCCACACCCTAGTCACTGTCCACCTCTACAGGAGCTCACTAGTACACTTACCTCAACAGCTCCTCTGGATAACACTCATCTGCAAAGGCAACAAGTGAACATCACTTTATTATTCATTTTGAATCTTTTAGAGATCATGACTCTACTCACATCACATTGTCCAGCTTTTCAGCAGAAAGTGCACAATGACTCAGCACTTTGAGACTCTTGGAAACCTCACCACAAAATCCTTGTCGTGTTCTATCTATTAATTTAATGTTACATGATTCTTATCTGGTCTCTTGGAGGGTTGGCTATTTAACTCAGTGGTAGAGTGCTCACCTAGCAATCTTAAATTACTGGTTCCAATCCTCAACAGTGAAAAAATGAAGATCTAATTTTAATTATTAGGCCAGGTCCTCAAAAGCTCATAAACATCCTGTGTTTGCCCCTCCTGACATTGTGAGTGGTATGCTCACTTTTGTCTTATCACCAGGACTTCAGTGACAGTGAGGAATCCAGCTAGCCTTCATTATTCTGAAGCTCCCAACCCATCAGTGACTTAGTTGATATGTTTATCAAAAAGCTGTTTTCCAGCTTCTTCCCCTACAAAAGGTTCTTACCTTATTTCAATTTGTTGGCTGTGCCCTGCTGAGGCTGGAAATTGTCTACTGCCGGATTCCAACATATAAATGCCTGCTTACCTCTGTGGACAGTGAGGGCTTCATCTCCATTTCAGAAAGTGATTTTTTTTCCTCAGCTATAACTTTGGCAGGAAAAAGTTGCTTACTCAAAGAGTAACCTTAACAATGGCATTATTATACATACACATTGCCCACACATTACTAATATTCTCATTTCCAAGGTATAAGTCACAAAACCAGAGACCCTTAAAGAATGTTGTATTGTGATGTACTAGGCCAGATGCCCAAGATGAATTCAAAGTGAGTCCCCCACAGACCCAATAATGTAAATACCTTGAAAACACAAACTTGTGAATTCAATGTGGTATCTGTGCAAGTAGTGAAAGCATCACAGAGATTTTGGGTCTAGTCCAAGTCACATGGGAAACAGGACTGGCACAGTCTACTTTCCATGGAGTTCAGTCTACTAGTGGCAGGGAAACAGTTTCAAGACAATAGCCTACACCACAACTGTGGGAAGTTCTGGGCAGGTAGCACAAGTACTTAAGAGAGAATTTAGCTAAGCTTGGGAGCTTAGGAGGTTTGCCCCTGAGAGGGAATATTTAACTGA